TTTTTTTTTTTTTGTTTGGTAATTTATGCATTATATTAATTGTGATTGTATATTTTATAAAGAAAAGAAGCAACTGAAATGAAAAACGAAGAAATGTTTTGTCAAAAAAGTTTTTAATTATTGAAACAAAAACATAAATTGGGCAAAAAAAAAAGGGCTGTTTGTTTCTATAATCTTCGTTTTTATGGAACATTTTACTCCTAAATGTGAGTTGAATTGTACAGTTTGATAGTTTCATTGGTTACAGCAATTTGAAAAACTAATTATGACCGTTTCTGCTTACACCATTGTTTTACTGCCCATTATCTTTGATGTTGCAAAAAAAAAAAAAAAAAATTCCTTTTATTATGGCATTAATAAATGTTTTAAATACAAATTCAATTACATCACTGTTGTTTTTTTTTTTTTTCTTAGACAGGAAAAGAGAGGTAAATGGGAGAAGCAAAAAAAAAAAAAAAAAAGAATTATGGAAATTGAAATTGAACAGCTTTTTTGTCTAACCTTTGTTACTATTTTTTGCCATCTGTTTTTTTTTTTTCTATTCTCCCACTTTTGCTTTTTGTTATTTCTTTTATATGTGCCTTCTAAGTCGACAAAAAAAGTTCTGTTAAACTTTTCTTTTTTTTTTATTATTATTTTCCTATCTTTGCAAGAGGTCTAAAGAAAGCGATAGACGAAAGAAGCAGTAAAAAAGAGCTTTTTATGGTAAAGCGGACGAAATAAGGCGACGAAAATACATCAAACTGCTCTGTTTATTTTATTTCTTCTTTACTTCAAATCTTTGTTCTTTATTTTCATAAAAAATTTAGCATAAAACCTGACATTTTACACCTGGACTTTTTGTTGAAATTGAGATTAGAGCAAATTTTCCAAAAATTTTAATGAATCAACTCATAAAAATTTTATTGATCATTGATACATCAAAATATACCAATAAGTCATCGAAGCAGTCTCAACTTTGCAGTTGTCTAGCAATTTTCAACTGCTTTCAGCTTATTAAAACCTTATATTTGGCTATTATCGTCATCGTCAGCAATAGTGGTGTTTCATTTTCTCTCTCGCATTTTTTTTCT